AAATTTAGAGAATTAGGAGAAAGAGATTTTCACTATCCATTTGTGTTTCACTTTTCTTTATTGGAAACAATTTTCATACTTACTGAAAATTTGCAAGTACCGTACAAAGAACTTTTCTTCCTTCTCTGACTCATTTGAAAGTAAGTTTCCCATATGACATCTTTAGTTTATATCCCACCCAAACAAGGAAATTTTTCTATATAATCAGAATACAACATTTACATTTGGGAAATTAATATTACTATCATGAGATCCTAGTTAGATTGTGTCAGTTGTCCCATTAAATAACACAAGAGACCATGTATGATTTGACTTCCATCGATCTCTCTATTCTCATCTTTAATTAACCTCCTGGCTTAGTAAGCTTCTTCCACTGCTATACTATGGGGGCATGGGATTAATTTGCTCTGAGGCCTTTGCATATGATATTTCTTCTGTCTAGAACACTCCCGTTCTAAGACTTCACCAGCACAACCCACTCTTCTTCCAAACCGCATCAGGGAAGCCTTCCTTAACTTCCCACTCCCTCTAACAGTGTCTTATTTCACTCGTCATTATATTTCTGCGGCCTAACATAGTGTCTAGTGCAGAGTAGATGCATAGTAAAAATGCATTAAAAGAAATAAAAGCGTGAAAAATGTCATTTTCTGTACAAGTGTTTATGCAAATGAAAATAGTATCTTGATTGAGTTTTCAATGGTCAAATCACAGAGACAAAAGTCAAATCCTAGAGACAAAAGTTTTGGACTTCTTAGAGGAAAAGATAATGAGAGAATGTTTTAGGAAAAAAACCTGATTTAATATTGGGATCTATATTAAAAGTAATTGTTCATTTGGACAAAGAAGTATGCCTATAAGTCTCATTTTATGTATCGGAGGTGAGGCTACATATTATATTGCATGCTATTAGGATTTATTTCAAAGAAATTCAAGATGTGACTTGTAATGAGTGCAGGTTCCTATAACATGACATGGAGAGGTATTTTATTCTATCTTTCTTTTCACATCCAAAATTATTTCAGAGGCACCTTTCTTATGCAATATACATGTTACTATGAAATTATAATAAAAGTTATTGGGATATTTTAAAATATAATATCAATTATAGTAAGCGCTATAAACTAAATTGTTGAGAAAAATACAATAGAAACACTATCAAATTGCTTTGAAAACTAAACTTGATTTGAAAAAAAATTACATTGTTCTTTCTATAAAAATTCAATATATATAATGAAAAATATTAAATAATTGTCTTTCATAAAATGTTTTCTTAAAATTACTATGAGTCTTTCAAAAGTTTGGGGACATTTCATTGAGCTAAATCCATTGAAATCATAAACTACAAATAATAACTGAATCATAGCTAATAGAAAAAGAATTTGATTTATTCTACTTTTGAGAGAAAATAGAAGTAATCTTTCATTTTTATTGTGTTTCTCATCATTGTGTATATAGTAAGGGCATCTTCATCTCTGACATAAAGTCATATATAAGCACACATTGAATTGGTACTTGAAACATCAAATAATCCTTTTACAAAATATAAAACCCACAAGAATGGATCTGTTGATCGGTTTTATATGAAGTACTTTTCTCCAATAATTTGAAATAAGTTACCAAGGTAGAAAAGAACAATGTCTTTCTCACTCTACTTCTAAAGATAAAAGAGGTGAGTCATTAGGTTCTACTGTATTTTATAATCATCATAATATACACAAAACTATTAGTGATTCATACACAATTCTTTTTCTGTAATCAACTTCTAAAATTAAAATGTATGTAATCATTCCTTATACAAATATGCTTTGAGAAATAATAAGCTTCTCTAGTTTCCCCCCAGTAACAAATTGAATGTATTTAGTACAGTGCACATGTTCTGGAGTGTAATGTGAGACACATACACAAATTTGAATTTTTTAGGAAATAAATATTTTTATTTTTTATTATTTTTTATTTTTTTAAGAGAGAAAGAGAGAGATTTTTTAATATTTATTTTTCAGTTTTCGGTGGACATAACATTTATTTTATTTTTATGTGGTGCTGAGGATCGAACCTAGTGCCATGCGCATGCCAGGCGAGCGCATTACCGCTTGAGCCACATCCCCAGCCCCAGGAAATAAATATTTTTAAATGAAAGTCACTTATTTATTTTTGTTTATTTACAGATTAAGTTAAT